AGCTGGTGTGTGGGGAGAGTACTGGTGCACTATGGCTGCTGTCGCATCATCCAGGGAGTCCCTGTTAGCTGTAAAGCGCTTTGAGGGGAGCGTCAGGAATGATGATTAATCATTCACGGCATGTCCAGAGAGTCCGGCGTGTCCACTCACCTCACTAGCTGCGTCTGTGAAGCCCTCCACTGCAGCACTGTGTGAGCACCGCTGTGGCAGTCCTGAGTGAGAAAAGTAGCACCTCTGTCTGTCCTTCCTTCTGCCTGTCTCTCGCCGCGCGCTTCTCGACTTCCCGCTCTGAGAGGACGAGAGGACGAGAGGGGGAGAGTGAGGAGGGCACGGCCAGGCCGGGACCGGACCACGCGGAGAGGAGGAGGAGGAGAACCCAGAGGATCAGGAGCGCAGGGCGAGAGGGAGGAGACTCAGAGCAAGGCAGGGAGTGAGACATCCAGGCAGACAGCAGTCCGAAACAGGCCCATCTTCCTGTTCTGCCCGAGCCACACAACAAGTCCTTTTCACCTCGGACTTTAAAAGTCAAGGCTGAAACCACTACAAAAACATGTAATCATTAACAAGCTGAGGCTGTATACGTTGTAATGTTTAACAACTGCTCCGAAACTGCACAGGCTTCGCACAACTCCAGAATCGCCCGGCTGCTTATAACGACGAAAACACGAAGCAGGAGTGGCTTTGAAACGTACGAACTGGAACTTGACCGTCGGGGTATCCGGTATCCATGTTTTTTTATGGGTGTGTGTGTGTGTTTTGGGGGGGGGGGGGACTGGAGGTCAGGCTTGGGCACCAGCTAGTTTATCCGTATCCCATCAACCCAGACCCCGCCGTGCCACCGCGCGCTCGCGCTCGTCCTAATTATCTCAGCAGCAGATGACGGGAGGCGCAAGCAGGATCTCGAGGAGAAGAGCAACTCCAAAAAAAAACCCCGCGAGTCTAAAATTAAACCCCGCGTGCACAGAGAGAGATCAGCACGGCTGAAGAGAACAGGCCGTGCTGTGACAGCCACCCCCGCTCCTTCTCTCTGTCACACTCGAGCTGCGCGCCCAGCCCCGTCAGCCCTGCTCTGAAAATAGAGAGCCGGCGGCTATTTTAAGGAACTCCTGCTATTTTGGAGGTCCTGCTCGGAGATTCAGGGGGTGGGCAGCGCACGATCGCGCGGCTCCGGCCCACGCCAGCCGAGAGACGTGTCGGAGCGGCTCTGCCCCTCCTCTGCTCCATCTGCCGCGCTCCCGGATCATCCCACTTCCTTCCCAGCCCCTTCACAGCGGAGACGCCATTCCGTCAGCACCGAGCGCCCCGTGCAGGAACAACACCCTCTTAGGATGCAGCTTCCCCGCTGTGAGAGCAATCTGACTGGATAAAGTACCTACAGTGCCCGTACAGTATTGGTGACGTGGGAAAGAGTCCGGAATGTGACATCCCTTGGATTAAACAAATCCAGGTTGCAGATCTTGACTTGATGTCTGAATTTAGTGAAAAAGATCATGTTGTTGCTTGCTAGTCTTTCACTGTAAGGTGCTGCTGTTTTAGACATAGGAAACAAACTTTCTGATTTTTTTTAAGAGGATGTATCCTATTCCATTGGCGGATGGCTTTTATTTATACTGCATCTGTCTTTTTGGCACCTGGCTTTCAGTGTGCTAGACTATAGTAGTGCAATATTTTGTCTAATGGGGCACTATACCCCTGGTATATAAACCTTTCCTTAATCGACACTGATTTAATTAAAGCAGGCAGTCTTGCTAACTGCCATTATTTCGCATTTGATGGTCAATTTCCATCAGCAGATTCGCATTAGGTTAATTTACCCCGACTGCCCACTCAAACACTCACTCATTCATATACTGCTGCTCCAGACCTGGCCCAGAGAAGAGCCAGTGGCCACATTCCTGGCCTCACAGCCATGTCCCACACTCTCTAGTCTTGAACGCAGGAGACTATGAGGGCCCCCTGATCCACATGTGGAAAATGAAATGAACTTCTTCAAAGTCAACAGTGAGACAGGAACCAGAGGGCACAAGTGGGAACTACAGGGAAGTGCCTTTAAAAACAAGAATCGGAGGCGCATCTTTACACCAAAAGTTGTGGGGGTTGGGAACAAGTCACCCAGCCGTGTTGTTAAAGCCAGTAACCTAGCTTCTTTTAAGAAGAAAGCAGGATGAGATCAAGGGATCAATTAGCTACTAGCACCCAAATGCACTTGGTGAACCTCTTGCCTGTGACCTTTATGCACTGAGCAGCTGGCTCATGAATGTCAATTACTAATCACGGGAGCAGTCTGTGCTAATTAGTGATGCCCGACCCGATCTAAATCTTTTTTTTTTAACCCGAGCCCGCCCGACCGGCGGGTGTGAGTCAACCCGCGCATCACTAGTGCAAATGAGGCCAAGTACGGTGTTTATTTATCCGGCACCAAGAGCAAAATCAGATTAAAGTCAAAACTATGTCACTTGGGCTGTTGATTTGAATGGAGTTTAGTCGAATTGCATTGCTGCGGTACTGTAGCGCCTGCCTCGGTGGTGGATCTTCTCGGCGGGGACAGCCCAGCCTCGGTGTGCCTGCCAGCACGGGGAAAAAGTGAATTTTAACGGAAGAAAACAACGGCTTAAATATCAGTGACCCACGTCACTGCAGCGTCTTCATTGACTCATCAGCTTCACTCAGCTGTGATTCCTCCACCTACGCATGGTTTACTGCTGGTCTGCTGCAGGTGCAACTGGCGTGGCGATGCCCAGTGCCAGCCCTGAGCCGGGTGAGCCCCCCTCCTCCAGATCCGCCGGCAGCACAGCGTTTACCCCTTCCTGCCCCCCTGTGCGACCAGACCCCGCCCCCCGACCGGAGCAGAGCCCCTCCCGATCCACCGTCCACCGTCACCGGGCAGGCCCTGCGGCTCGGGCAGGAAAGAGCACGGACCCGACGCTCCGCTCTTCGGAGCGGACTTGTGGCGCACGCTGCAGAGGAAAGGACTCCTGCCCCCGAGACCGGCTACCTCAAAACTGACCGGTGACCCCAAACTGCCTGCCAGTGTCACCCCACACCTCACAAATCTGGAGATCCACCCCACATCAGAACCCTGCCTTTGAAAGCCACAGACACAAACGGACATCACTGCAGAAAACCCGCTGTTTGGAACACAGTGGGAATGGCTTTGGATAGAGCGCCTGGGTTTCACCTGGAGGACAAGCCTGCAAAAGCTAGAAGGCGCAGTGCTCCTACCTCTCAAAGCAAGCCTCGATTCAGCTTCGCCAGCCAATCATCTCTGTTCGTCTGTCTCTCAGGCTTCACGGAGTCTGGAAGAGAAGAAGGGTCAAAGGTCAGGTAGGAGGCCTCTGCACGATCACCGCCACGATCTCTCCTCGGCCCAGGGCACCGCTCCTCTGCTGTTCCTGTGAGATGTATGGATACAAGCGCTGTTCGTCTGGCTCATCCATCATCCATCCCAAAACCACCCATCTTGGAACTACAGGGCACAGGGCCCGCCCTGGAGGAGCCTGTCGGCCCACCACAGCGGGGGGGGAGAAGGGACAGTCTGGATTGCCAACCGAACCCAGCTGGCACTTCTCCCGGGTACGACAACACAGCGGAGATCTCAGAGGGAAAACAACGCCAGGAGGAACGTGGGTGCAGATCCCCCACACAGACGGGTGCCCTAGGGCTGGGATCCAAACGCAGGACCCCTAGAAACACAGATTTCAACTATAGACAGACCGAAACTAAAAACACACAAAAGCACCGATTAGAACAGCCCCCCCCCAGCCGGGACAGAAAGTAACAACGGGCTGCCTGGAGGGCTACCACCCCGAGCTGCACACGCCCAGTCCCATCCAGTTCCCCAGCCCGTGTGCCTACACCAGTCCACAGACAAGTCTACAAACAGGGCGAAGACAACATCAGAGAAGCTACGGCTCATGAAACACGTTCTCTGACCCCACTGCCCCAGGAAATCAAGCGGCTACCGAGCAGGGGGACACGCTAGCCGGACCAAGTGGGCTCCTCACGTCCTGCAAACACGGACGTCGGGGCCACGAGCTCCCCGGGCCGTGTCTGGCCCGTGGCACCTGCGGGGAAGAGCAGGGGGAGCTCACGGCTCGCTGCCGCGGCGTGGTGGGCCGGACGTGGAGAGGAAAAGCCCTCTCGCACCGAGA